GTGAATTACCTAATTTTATTTGCAATACAAGGTAACCAAACATGTTCTTGCCGTTTATAATCATCAAAAACAGACAGACATTCAGCACATGATACTCAGCGTTATATCTCGAAATAATCTCCATCAACATCTAGCAGCCGTTACCAATGTTTCTACAACTGTGACATGTCCTAGCGATAAAACTCATGGATTTGGGATGCAAAGAATTTAAGTGAGTTCCGCGAGTTTACCGCATTATCGAAGGATTCTTTACTCGTGAGCATTTTGGGTGTGTGGCGATGTCGAGACAGTAACAACAAACAGGTTATCCCTTGCTGTTCCCTGTGGTCTGCCGATAAATGTTTGGGTACCCCACATGCTCAATAAATCTTCGCAAGGCTATGAAGTCTGACTGCTTCCTCAGAAATCTGAAAGCATTTGACATGTTCACTACACAGTTGACTGCTATCCTTATCCATGTCTTCAGGGCCTCGTCATTCAACACCTGTGGTCACCCAGTACAGGTTCGTTTCATCACAAGGCTCAGATTTCCAGACTTGAACTTTTACAAGTAATGCCTAGCAGTACGTTCGCTCGCGGGATCCTACCTAAATTTATCTAAATTTCTGATATATTCGACGACTTGATTCAGCTGCGAACAGGTCCACCTTAAACTCATACAACAAATTACCGCCAAATCTGCTTCAATATCTCAAATTTTCTTCAATACTGGACAAGTTGTGATTGTTAGTGTGAGCCAGTAATTTCAGTAACCCTCCACTGTTTTTCCAGAGCATGAGTCACTGGGTTTCCACTTTGTGTGCGTTCATCAAATGGAATATCAAAAACAGTAACAATGTTTTTGATCGCCTTGCATACATATAAATGCTATTACAAATGCTTAAATAATTTGTTTGGTTTAACAATGGGTTTAATAATGCTTAAATAATGGTTTATTTCTATACGTTACTTGTAATGCAAAGTGCTGTTTAGTTAATATTCTTTAACTCTCCCCTTCCCTGCTAAATCTTTTCTTTCGAATAATGTACGTTTAAAGTTTATAGTCTTAAATTTTGGAGTCAAGCCTTCATATAGATTACAGCCATTCCGCAGTTAGTTTTAATTGCAGCCTTGTAGTTAAGAATTTGTAAGATATAATTCAAAATTTAAGTTTTATTTATAAATTATAAAATAGTTTTACACACCATAAAGCTGAATAAATTAATAATAAATAGTTATGATTATATTTAACAATAGCAAAGATTATGGCTAAAATCCGTCCGATATTCAGTGCAGAATAAACTACATGCAAACACCAAAAAGCAGAAGCACGCTGGCAAACCTCAAAAAACAGGTGAGCAAAATATGCCAAAACAAAATATTAAAAAGATATTTACATATATTTACATCTTTCGCTGCATCGTAATCAGTGGGTTGGTGCTACGAAAGAAGTATATAAACAAAATAGCCTATTTCTACAAATAAAATAAAATGGTTTCATAAAATAGCCAGTGAATAATTAAACTATTATGTAAATAAAAAAATCGTTTAGAAATAAATAAATAAGAAATTTTTGAAATAGCATTTAAAAACGCTTGGTTATTTTGTATTGCAGATTTTTAAGAAATTAATTCTCTACTTGTAATTTTTGTATTACATTTTATTATGTATATTTTTTATAAAAAACTTTTCTTTGTTTTGCATATGTTGGATTACTTTTGTTTTACGTGTTTTCGTTCTTGGCCCACCAAAATTTAAAACATTGTTATTAGACTTTTAAGCTTTCTTGCTTGTCTGAGAATTATGTTTTTATTTTTTAACTCGGCCAATATGTTTTCAAAATGGGCATTTAGTTTATTTTTCCAGGTTTGAATTAAAAATTTTGCATATGCTTTTATTTTGTCACGTATTGGGTTATTCCTTTTGTAAGTTTTATTTCAGGAATCGATCTATTCAATCTTTTAAAATTTGTCTATTGTTTCCCAATCGTTTTGAATTTCTCTTTCTTTTTCATTCTACAATTATTTCACTACTTACTTCGGGATGTAATTTCATATTGTTACTAAATATACAGGCGCGGTAAGATGGTTTTTCCGCAAAGCAGTTTTAGGGTTGCCATAAAATAACAAGGGAAATAATTTCTCGCCACATTTGGCGAGAAATCGCCCATTTCGCGAAAAAATTAGCGATATCCATGGACGGTAGGAGAACCTTCTGGAACGAATGGTTACCGGTTTAGCCCAGAATGTTCTCAAACACAAGCCGAAAGCTATATAAACCCTGCTGGTCCGCAGTGTGTGTGTCTCATCTAGTTAGTCAGTGCGGAGACGATCGAGTTGACAGCCAGCCAGCAAGTGCCGAGTGGGTCGTCGAGTGCATCGAAGAGTCTCTTAGTGTATCGCGGTTAGTGCATCGTCGAGAAAGCGAGTTAAGCTCCGGGAACGACTGAACCGAAGAGTCAGGAGCCGTGCTCTGTGTGTCGTCGAGTGCATCTCGAGTTGTAGCGTGGAGTTCCGAGAACGACCGAGCAGATTCGGGAGCTGTACTCTGGTGCTTTGCAGCTGTCTCCACCGTTATAGCCTGACAATCTCAAGGCTGTGTGACTGATTGTGTCAGCCTGTTTATAGTACACTGTAAGGTGATTTTGGAGCTGTCCTGATTAGTACTGGCTAAATAAAGTGTTAGTACTCGCTGAATAAAAAGTTTCGATATTCCATCAAGTGCTGTCGTCGTTATTCACTCCAGATCCACACGAACCCCGTACGAATGTAAAGAAAAGAAAATAACGTAACAATATTCTTTAGATCAAATTTTCATTTCCGTTTTATTTTTGCATATGTTGGATTACTTCTATTTTACGTATTTTTGGACTCGGTTCCCCAAAATTTAAACACTTACTAGAATTTTTTATGTTTTTTTCCTTGTTTATAAATTATGCTTTTATTTTTTTTAATCTGACCTGTGTGTTTTCAAAAGTTGCATTCAGTTTTATTTTTACAATTTTGAATTAAAAATTTGCATATCATTTTGTTTTCGCAAGTACTAGATTGTTATTTTTGAAAGTTTAGTTATTGGGTTCAATCTGGTCAATTTTTAAAAAATTGTTTATTATTTCGCCTTCATTCTGAATTTATCTCTTTTTTTGACGCTACAATTTTTTTGCACTGCTTACTTCGGCTTGTAAGGGTTGGACTGATAAAGACACAGATTACTTTCATTGTTTTTCTCAGGTTGTTGTTTTTCTAACATAAATTATTAAACTTAAATTTTAATTTATGCCATTTTCAGTTCAGAAACTGGCTTTTTTATTTATTTGCGTCTTTAGTAGAAACAACCTCCTGAGAACAATGCAGAAAAATCTATAAATGTCTTTTTCATTTGGGTTTAGGGGGCCCACTAGCGGCCGAGCGGTAAAGTCGCTGAACACTGGTAGTTCGGTCCGAGGTTCGAATTCCGCAAACGGGCTGGCTGCATGGGCGTTTTCGTGGTTTTCCCCATGTGTAACGTGTGTACGAGCCAGTTTTCCATATAAAGTCCTCCACGAAGGCATCCCTCCCCTTAGGCAGATAGCCCTCGAGGCTTTGCCATAATCACTAACACACACATTTGGGTTTAGGCATAATTCGTCCCGTCTTCTATTTCTTGAGGTTTGCCACTGTGCTTCTCTTTATTGATTTTTGCATGTGGTTTATTCCGAATTGTATATGGGATGAATTTTAAATGTACTATAATATAAATATATATACATATATACACAAATGGAGGAAGTGAAGTGATATAACTTAATTTAAGCAAAAGTTTTAATATAGAAAAAAAGTTTGTTCGACGAGTGAAAACAAATATATTCTCACCTGTCTGAGATATATCCACTTATGGAATTTCCAACAATGCTACCTACATTCTGAAGCATAAAAATTAAGCTAACATAATGATTGCCACTGCAAACCAAATTCCACTAAATTAAACGAAAACATACGTTACAAAATTAAAATTTCAACCATAAAAAATAAAAATTGCAAATTATTAATTTCTTTGAAATATAAATGACGTGTATGTAAGAGGAATTTAAAGCAATTGATTTGGAATAATGATAAAAGAAATTTTACACATAGAATTTGCATTTCCTAATTAATAAACGAAAAATAGCTGAGAATATGACATGATTCTCCCATAATACATTTGTCAGTAGTTTTATAAAATATTTCTTGCCTCTCCTTAGTATTCAATGCAAACCTAAATGTGTATGAATCTTAATATTCTATGAAATATCATTTAGAGATTTAAAGAAATAAAGTAGAAAATCCATCAATTAAATTCGGCCTCAGCGCATTAAAATAAATTAACTTAAATAATGTTAGAGTAAAGATAATTTCATTCTACTGAACATTCTGTTAATAAAATACATTTTAACTGTATATTTATTCCATACACTATTTCAATCCACTTTTTAAAATAAAGCTTCCTCTTAAGCCTTTTTATGATAGCTTCTTTCTAAAATGTTTTCTTTTAGGTCATTCAAAATAATGTACATAAAATACTTAGAATACTGTACATAGATACTTAGAAAATAAGTTATATATTTAATGTAAAATAAGTTACACATTTAATGCAACATATTTTGGCGTTTTCTATGCTTTGCAATATACATATAGTACAGTACATTCCTTCAAAATATCTTGTAAAAGTATTGTGTTATATTTAGTACGTTTATGCGAATTTTACTTATTTTAGAGTAGTTAGCAAAATAAAAAAGATGTACTTTAAGATATAGAAAATGTTTATGTTTGGAAGCTGAAGTGAATGTTTTCATACTTACCTGACTAGTTGCGGTGTAGTCGTAATAAAATGTGTCATATTGCCAGCCGTTTGAGCAAGGTCGAGATTGTGAATTGTTGACAATCGTGAGACTCTGAGAATTTAGATATTCCGTGTAATTTATGTCGTGCATAGTACATGACGGATTGTTTTGTGGTCTGATAAGAGCTTTTTGTTGATGCAGGGTTAAATTAGACGATGCAACGTCAGATACGAAACACCAATGATCAGGAGTAGATAACATAAAATATATATCCACTGCAAACCAAGGAATCAGGCATAATGAAGGAGCAAGTATAAAAAACAATAAATGTTTTTGATAGGTTCCGTAACCTCCAACGTCTTTCAAGACATCATCGAATTCCATTTGTGTTGAATTGACTAAAAAAAATGAAATGCAAACACTGCATGTAAAAATTGTGAAGCCAACATATTAAAAAAATAATAATAACTGCAATGATGTTTTATGTTCTGATCCTTTTCTAAAAAATCTCAATTAAAATAATTAATTTAGATTATTAATAATTTGAGATTAATTAATAATTAAACTAATTAACATTTCAAAATATGTATTTAGTTTTATTTCATTAGTTCCATTAATTTCAAAATTCAGAAACATCCTTTCAAGAAAATGTTTTCTTTATTTGACTGTAGCGCATCTTTTATTAATAATTAACTATAAAAAATTGCAGCTGAGTGCATTAACAGCATAAAGCTTACCTATAAGAACAGACCTCACATTTTAGTGTCGATTGTTTCTTCTTGATTGCTCTCCAAGCCAAAAGCAGAAAACCCTTTTGCTACTTCTTCGATTGTGACTCGTGATGTAAGGGAATCACTGTGAGTTGTCGGAACTATTTTTAAATCCCGAAACACGGATTGAGGCTACGTGTAGGATGATGTCACACCAAAGTTACGCGTTTTAAGTTCAGTAAATTTTTGTGTATGAACAGAAACATCCTTACGAGATTTGGGTTTCTGAAGCAGAATAATTCTTCATGGAAATATTACACTTTTTTTAATATTAAACTTTTAGCACAGATGTATTTCTAATACGTCTAATACATTACGGTCTTTATTTTGAATTACTAAGAAATATATGAGATGTCAATCTTAAATTTTGTTATGTTAATATTTTAATAGTTTTCACCAAATTATTAATAGTTTGAGCTTTAATTTCTAAAGTATATTATGGAAAAAACTCATACCTACCTCCCTAGATATTACTTAACTATACAATAAATGAATTCAAAATTACACTCCGTTTTTTTACTTACCTGTACGGAGTAAAGGAAGTATTGTGATCGCGAAAATTTTCGGGCATCGTATTTCTCATATTTCAACAAAAATATTCATGCCTCTCTTGAAACCATTTGAACGATATTTTTGCGTGACATCTGTACGTACGAAAAGAATAAACGTCTGTGTTTGCCAAAACGGATTGTAAAATGGATTCAGAAGATATTTCTTTTCCTTGACGTCTGTACGTATGTATGTTTCTAGCATATCTCAAGAATAAGTAGCTGTAAAACATTAGTATTTTGTATATGGGACTGCTATAACATGTAGCTGCGCATCTCTCGTTTTCGTTGCAATCGACTCCACCAATCATTTATAAATATATATTATGTGTATATATGTTCCTACTCTGTACCTAGCTTGACGAGCTTAGGTTTTTTATTCTTATATGTTGCTAAATTGCGCATTTTTTGCTTTAAAGGAGATCGAATTATGTGATATTTATGGTCCGCTTAATGTTTTATGCCTTTGGTTAAACTGCATGCAATAGTTGTAGAATTATCAATAATTTTCTACAACTATTGCATGCACTAGTTTGCTAAGTGGCGAATTAAACCTAACGAACCGTCATTTGTTTACATTTTAAACTTAGTAGAATACTGAATTCAGTTTCTGCATCTTCAGTGTCTTTTTGCCGAGTGGGACCAAAACTAAACTTTCAGTTTTATTCACCGAAAAAGCTGTCTTCCTGCCCCCTGGCCGAATGGCTAGCTTTTGCGTAGAAACTCTAATTTTAATTATAAGAATTTTTTTTAACTGTTTTAAATGTATTTGGTGTTGGGAAAGAAGAGCTCAAATGTAAACAAGGAGTTAATAGGTTATTTGTAATTTATTATTAAAATGGTAGGTATTTTATATGTTACATATATACAAATATATGTGATGTATCAACTTTCGTCGAAGCTTAAATTATCAGACGATAAGTTTAAAAAACAGGATCCATTTATTATTATTCAGGAGAAATAGCAGTTACAAAATCAGATATCCGGAGTAAATAAAAAGAATTACTAATAACTTTTTGTATGAAGTTTACTGCATCGTGACATTTAAGAAAAAGCCCCGGTATTCTTTTGCGAGTCCTTTTATAGCCTCTGGAAAGGCGGAGCTTCCATGAAATGACGTCAGCCCCATCAGCCAATCCAGTTGGCTTTAAATATTTCCAGAACATTCTATAACTGTACGTGTAGAAAAGGCGGGAAAAGAACTTGACTAAGGGGCTGTGGATTTAATTCCACGTACTTTCAAATAACAGATCGTCGCCATTAAAAATGAAAAGAACATACAGTTCGAATTTTAAGTGTATTCTTGACTATGGAATTTTATTATTACATACATACATACATATATATATATATGCATTTTTCAGATAATAATTATAGTAATTGATGGAGAAAGTGGCACTTAAAATATATTCAGGTCTTTTACCGTTAAATAACATCACAGTTGTAAGTTTTGTTTTCGTTTGCAGATGCGTGTTATCGTTTATCAGGATTTATTGAATAATTAATGCACTCTTCTCTTCTTCCGAACCGTTTGAAGGTATGTGTTATCGTTTGCCAAGTTTGCTTGAAATATTAGTATATTCCAGGCTTCCCGGTTGTTTGCAGGTGTGTACTATTGTTTGAGAGGTTCATTAAATTACCGACAGGTTCTTCCTGGCTTCCGGACTTGCGCAGCTGTATATTATATAAGTAACAGTATATAATAATAAATTACAGTAAAAGTAATAATGCACTATGGAAATGTTTCCCATGTAGTTAAAATATCTGATCTCGAAGCGCCTTTTGTTAGAGAAGCAGGATTCTAAAAATTCGACCCTATCTGCTGCTGTTGGGCTGTGAATTCATTTGTAATTCGGTAAAAAATTCGGGTAAAAAACATTCGGGTAAAAAACTCAGCTTTTTTTTTTTTTTTTTTTTTTTTTTTTTTTTTCTGTTCTGAAATGTAAAATGTAGTTCTAACTGCACCAGGGAAGACATCACGGAACCTTTTCCGTCTAAGCTAGCAGCCTAATTATTATCCACCACCTCTTAGCTCGGGCGCCACTGTTACAATCAATTGCTTTTTTTTTTTTTTTGTTGTTGTTCGCAAATGTAAAATGTAGTTCCAATTCCTCCAGGGAGACCATCACGGAACCTTTTCCGTCTATGTTAGTGGCGGAATTATTATCACCAGCTCTTAGTTCGGGCGCCACTGTTAGAGTGAATAGGTTTTTTTGCTAGCGTGATATGTAAAATGTAGTTTCAACTGCTCCAGGGAGGAAATTACGGAACCTTTTCGGTGTAAGGTAATAGCCCAAATATTATCCACCAGCTTTTAGTTCAGGCGCCACAGTTAGAGTGAATAAGTTGTTTTTTTGCTAGCCTGAAATGTAAAATGTGGTTCCAACTGATAAACGGAGGACATCACGGAACCTTTTCCATCTAAAATAGTAACCGAATTATTATCAATGCCTTTTATTTCGGGCGCCGTTATTAGAGTCAATAGTTTTTGTGCTGTTCTGAAATGTAAAAAGTAGTTCCAATTGCTCGAGGGTGGACATTACGGAACCTTTTCCGTCGAAGGTAGCAGTTCAATTATTATTGACCACTTTTAGTTCGGGCACCACTGGTACAATCAATAAGTTATTGGGCCTCATTTTGCACGGATAAGTATTCTGATTCGTTTGGGCATCGCGTCTACATGCTTCCGGAGCGCATTTACATCTGGGGAATACCATGCATAGGTTATGCAACTTTTTAGATGTTGTAAATTAGATGGAAGAGGAGAGTGATGTCGGATGCATCTTTCCACCACATCCTACACATTTTCTATGAGATTACGATCCGGGCTATGCGGTGACCAGGGAGTGTGTTGGAAGTCAGACTTATGTTCAGCGAACCAATTTTGAACACTTCTGGCCCGATGTATTGTTGCATTATCGTCCATGAAGTATCTGTAGCCTTTAGGGTAAAAATGCAACATGGCAGGGGGCATTTGATCTGACAGTATATCTAGGTATTACCATGGCTGTTCGTTTAATCTCCAGGAACACCAGGGCAGCATACCAGCAGAACACGCACCATTTCATGATACTCCCGCCAGACCCTTGCTCAGTGCGAGTAAGGCAAGATGGCTTCATGGCTTCATGGGGTTCTCACCAAATTCGACTTCTTCCATCAGTGCAAAATAAGGTATAGCGTGATTCATCCAACCACATTACCCGTTTCCAATCCTCAGATGTCCAGTGCCTTCTTTCCCGACACCACACTGGAAACAAATTCTTGCATTCCGGTGCTGAAAGAGCAGTTCTCTCACAGGCACCTGAGTATCTATTCCTATTCTCTGCGCATGGTTCGAGCTGAAATCCCTCATCTAGCTTAAAAGTCCTTACCCGACCTTTATTTTCGCAATCCTTGGTCGTAGTCATATACTTCCAGTTACAGAAGTGCTTTAAATGGCAAAAATATTCATATATTGTCAATGGTAAATCTTAAAAAAATTAAATTTCGTTAAGTAAAGAAATATAACTTTAATGCGATCTCCCGGTTCTTATATTTATACTTGGGAAAGTTTTGTACTCGCTATCAAAAAATAAAATTATTAGAAATTTGACTCCCGTACGAGAAGTTCACCGGGATGTTTAACTTCAAAATTTACAGTTTTTGATATCTTTCGCAATATGCCTCAAGGGATCACTTAATTAAGATTGGATAATTCGAGGAAGTAATTGTAAACGAAGTGCAGCAAAGTATGTCTGTAATTTAATAGGCCGTACCAGAAAGTCATGTGGCGTCCACATCAAATTATTTATTTACCTCTGTTATTGCGTCAGATAAATATCAGTGTAGTATACCAGTAGTCTGTGTAGTATAGTATGCCAGTGTAGTATGTCAGTGTAGTATACCGCATTGTTATTGCGTCAGATAAACCTCCACTTCTTGCGAGCATTTAAATTAGCATAAAGTTAAACTTCAATGTAGGTAACGTAGTCTGAGATTACAAATGAAATACAATCCTCGAGCTGGCCCATCATAGTAAACGACGCGTATTTTAAACTTCTAGCAAGATGCTAAATTAGGAAATAAATATAGGGAGAGCTGGCGGGATAGTAAGTAACAGCAACACTGGGCTGCCAGAAGCTGTAAATATTCTTGCGTACGTACGGTTTCGTAATAGACTGAATGCACACAGGCCCGATGAGAGTTTGATGAAATTTCTTTTATCAAAAGAAGCACTTCAGAATTCTGGAACTTTTCACAGGAATACTCGTATAGGTGTTCACAGTATCACAGAGTTAGTTCAAAGTATCACAGAATTAATAGTAGTTACACTTCAAACTACTAAGAATGTTAAACACAACGCAATGCAAAACTCATCTAAAAGAGCAAAGCTAACTCGGAGATACCTCAGTATTCTGAACTCTCGCTGAGCTATTAGCTAACAACAACAGCTGAGGGCAGATGCTCTGTCCAGGCTTATATAATTTTCACCCGGCCGCTAAGGTATTTCAAGTACTTTCTGCTTCTCAAAATTACTGGAAGACATATGAGGGCCTGATAAGGTTACAGATATATAAAAGAAGATAAGGTTAGCACTCCCCTTGACAAGGATGGTACAGATATGTAGTGACCAATTACATTTATGCAGTTACAATATCTATTACAGAGATACAGTACAAGACCAAAATGTCACCAGGTTTGGCGAATTCTGAAGATTCATAACCAAATTTGGCGAGAAATATTAGTCGTCAAAACCGTTACGAGCTTTCCAATGTCTCACTAATTTAGCGATATAGCCATTTTACTCAATGTTAATAGACTTGCCCCTGTATTCTTGTTTTTTCAGCAGATTACCATCTCTTTATATTTTCATATTACATTATACAGAAAAATATAACAATTTCACATTAGCTAAACCAATTCGTTTATATTAAACCCTCAGCCTAAATACACAATAATTAATTCGCATTCTGGTGTGGACTACAGAAAAAAAAATTTAGTAGATATTGAAATCATAATAACTGGTTAATTAACATAAATACACTGGTTATCATAAATTAAGGAAAAATCACGATTACTGAAAAAGTTACATGTAGAATTTTATGAAACTTACCCACAATATACAACACATAGTAAGGTATCAAATAACATAAAAAGAAATTACCAGACAATTATGGTAGTATAGAAATTAGCACATGTATAAAATGAACAAATCGAAGGTGTCAGTTTGCTATAGGAAAAGTACCTTCAATATGGAATATGATCGCCTCTAGAAGCAATACAGCACATACAGCGATGTGTGATGCTTTCAATTATGCGGTCTATCAGTTCCATAGGAAGCGAGAGCCATTGCTCTTGCAAAGCAGTTGCAAGCGCGGCAAGGGTCTGAGGGGGCGGATTGAGAGCAGCTAGACGTCTCCTCTAAAGCATCCCAAACGTGCTCGATAGGATTCAAGTCCGGGGATCGAGCTGGCCACTCCATGCGCATAATTGTTTCCTGTTGAAGATAATCATATACGATGCGAGCCCTGTGTGGTCTTGCATTGTCGTCCTGTAACAGGAAAGCATCACCTATTGGCCCGGCATATGGGCGCACATAAGCATCAAGGATGCTATCTCTATAAACATGAGCATTCAAGGTTCCCCTTGGAAAAATATGGAGGTCTGTGCGTCCACCCAAAAAGATGCCACCCCAAACACAGACTTCCAAACTGCCCCTTCCGTATGCATCTCTTTCACGGATGTTTGACGGATGATAACGGGTTCCAGGTTCTCTCCATATCAAATAACGCCTACTATCGCTTTCTAGACTAAACCTGGACTCATCCGTAAAGAGAATAGCCCTCCATTGCTCAGGCGTCCAGTGGACATGTTGTCGTGCCCACTGCAAACGGTCCCTCCTATGGCGTGACTTGAGCGGCACGCAAATGGTTGTTCGCCTCGCATACAGACCATCTTCGTGAAGCCTTCTACGCACAGTTGACGTTGACACCAACCTTCCGGTGGCTGCAGCAAGGGAGGATCTAAGAAGAGTTGGAGTAGCGGTTCTATTCCTGAGTGCACATAATGTCAAATATCGGTCATCGGCGCTCGTCGTAGCAGTTGGCCGTCCTTGGCTGAACCTCCTAGGAGCCGAATCTTTGATTTGAAATTGTCTTCAAAGTCTATGAATCATAGAAAGACTCCCATTTAGCCATCTGGCCACTTCTGTTTGACTTTGTCCTGCCTCTAGTTTCTCAATGGTTTTCTATCGTAGTTCTGCAGGCAAATGATGCCTGGAGGTCATTGTTACGAATCGTCTATCTCAGATTTCTGATATAACTATAGCAGTGAAATATGTGGGCTTGCTCTCAATTATGGACTTTTATGCTCCTCGCAGAGGACGTATTCCGAGTGCAGCGCCACTAATTTGCATATTGGAGTTTTACTCAGCTACTCTTACTTGGCAACATATTCAAATTTTACTCGGTTTGGCTTATTTTTGAGGGAGTTATCGCTATTTTTGTGGTATTTCCTTAATTTATGATAACCAGTGTACTTATAGATGGGTAGGTGGTACAGAAATGAAAATATTAACTGTGCATAATTAAAATGCTGTAGATCATCAACGAGCTGTAGATTGCAAAGTGTTGTGAGTAAGCCTATGGTAATTACATTAAAACTGTATTTTATTTTCAATTCGTTTAAATACATATGAGATTCTTGAGATTTTGAATAAGTTGAAAATAATTCCCTTTAACATAGAAAATATCTACCATTCAGAAACCTGAAAACATTACTTTTTGAGTTTTATATCTTATGAAAAGAGTACAAAATGTAGGTCGAAAAATAGGGAGCTAAGGTAGAAAATAGTATCTCTTTTCGGTGTCAAATATTTGATGTTTTCAACTTTTAGAGCAGAAGGAAGACACAATTTTTTTCCATTGTAATATATTCCAGACTTAAATCAGCTGTGTTAAATTTTGCATTTCTTTTTCTTCTCCGACTTGCGGTTTCTTTCTGAAATAAGGCGAAATAAAGGAATTATAAGAACGCTGAATAAATTTGCAAGAAAACTTACAGCAAGCACTTAAATATTTATCATTTAATACGATTAATGTGACAGATAATATACAAATCCTGTTTGGGTTCAGACTTTCGTGTTCTAAGGTTGGCTGCTCTGCATGCCGAGATATCCGAATCCATCTACCAACTTGGATAATTTTAAAAAGTGAATTTTTGATCTGAACCAGTGCTTTATTATTATTGCTTTTAGATATGTAGTTATATAGCATATAATTAGCTTTCAGAATACATTAGCTTCATGACGAACTCAACCATCTCACGATGAAATAGTGATTTGAATTCTTCAAGTTTATTCTGCTACTAATCTCCTGATTTATGGTATACAGTATTAAGCTAATTAATCCATTAGTTTCCCTATTCTTTTATTTCTACTTTCATCAAATGAGATCGGAACGCAAGTGTAAGACAAGTGTAAGACAAGTGTAGACAAGTGTAGACAAGTGTTGACACCGAAAGTGTAGGACAAGTGTAGAGACCGGTACAAGTGTAAGACGGTATATACTATAAACTCTTGGTAACCTTTCTTATCGTTTTTCTGTTGCGCTTCCATGCTGTCTTAATCAAATAAATTATTAATTTGTCTTATTATGACAAATAACGCAAGAACTATGTACTAGAAGAAAGGGATGATCTCATGGAGGACATAGTTTAGGAGACAGACTCGTATCCACGTTATTCATGGGAAACCAAGAAAACGTCTTTGCGGCCAGCCGCTCACCGGGATTTGAACCTCCATTTGAAAGAGCAAGTCTCAGAGTCATAATACTATCCTGCTGATTAGAATTAAATATTAACGGTTTTAGTTTCGGCCAGCCGCATTCTACGTCACAAATATTCAGGGCCACGTTAATGCTCATTTAGGCATTGCCACTCTGCACTTCTTACTCTATTTGACTTTAACGTCTCGTTCTAAATTTCTTGCAACCTTAGCAGATTGATTTTATTACACTTCTAATTTTTCTATAAAAATGAGATTGACAGATTAATAAGTAAGCTTATTTTAAGCTCTCACTTCCTAATTTCTGTTGTTACAAACCAGAGACGATACGTTCGCCCGATTGCCTTTATGTTTCCAGTATTCTTAGCGCTTTAAAATAATATAGTACCGTGTATTGTTCATCATAATGAATCTCAACATTTACATATAACTTTATTCGTTGTTTTATATATACTTTTTTAAGAATTTTAAACTATAAATTAAGAAGAAATAATTTATACGTGTATGATTGAAAATCTACAGAAAGGGATAAAATAAATCTGCTATAAAAGTTCTTATGGCTTATTAGCCTCCATCAATGAGCAGGACCTTATTTATATTTATCTGTAATAACTGGAAGGACAATCACAACTTTATAAAGATTAAGCATATATCAAATGTAAACTTTAATCTAGATTACATACAGAATGAATGCATATGCAAATATTGAAAAGCCTGGAGTTGAAGAGAAGATGTCATATTAAATTATTTTATTTGGCCTACAAATTATCTCGAAAACAATTTTGAGATAAATTATTTGCAACTACTTTAAAACGGTGCTACTTCGGTAGACGGTTGCACTGATTTTTGGCGATTTACTTTGGCGCAATGGTTGGCTCGGTTTTTACAATCGTCAACCATCTTGAAAAACGCTGTTTTTACGTATTTTACGCATAGTAAAGTATTCTTAACTTTAAGAAAAAATAGATATCGGTATAAATAATGGATTATTTTTGGTTGAAAAAGTTTTTTTTTAAGATGTCAGGCAAACGTAAATAAATACATTTACTAGGAGTATAAAATACTAAAGTAAGGTTAAATTATTACTTTCATATAGCAAAAAAGTAGAATAAAAACACCTTTATAAAAACATTGCGTCAACGTTTAATTGGATTAAAATATTACTTAAATTGAATATCGAATTAAAAAACATCATACCAATGTTTGAAAGAATTAAATTATTAAATCTTAAATTACTTAAATATTACTTAAATTCAAATACTTTAAAATAAGTAACTTTAAAATAAGAACGCTTCGTACACTAGAGCTGAAATGACAGCAATTAGAAGTTTACTTTCTTTTCTTTTCACCATCGACGGAACAGCTGGCCCACTGGGTTAGGTGCTTTTCAGCCTGTTGGATTCCGTCGAGATGGAATTACAAATAAATTTCTGAATAAACATAAATAAAGAGCTTAGTACTGTGTCCTCCGGGGATTGGCCACGAAACGAGGAACATTGAAATAAGAACCAGAACATGGAAAGAAGGTGCATGGTGGGGACTGCTGAGACTAAGCGGGACGCTTTTTGCTATTATCGTACATGTTAGGCATACAGATATATTAAGGATGTGCTATAAAAATCAGGTACAGATGTAAAGATGACTAAATACATTAAATATAATTAAAAACAGCAAAAAAAAAAAACACAAGACATTAAGTAAATTAATGTATGTACAGAGCAGGCTGCTGATGGCACGGTGTCCAAGGAAAGTAGTCACTCCAGGTTGTCAGCAATGCTTTTAGCAATGGCAGTGCAGTCTCTAATGCGGCTGAGCGCATACTTATTCTTAATTGTGTTCTTGAACCATGCTTTCATATTGATTGCAGTTGGTCTTTTTAAATGTGAATTCCCTGCGAGCCATCAAACAGATAGTGATATGGGTCACCAGTACTGCCACAAATACATTAGAAGTTTACTGCTTGTAAAAAAAGAGGATTGTCTAATACTTATTTTACCGTTACAACAGTTATTTCTTCCACCGTGACGACAATACCATATACGGCCGTCCTCAGAATTGGGTCCGTTAACGATCTTCATCTGTGATCCACATTTCTCGCACTTCATTGAAGAAGCAATTAGCGAGGTTTTCTCCAAAAATTTAAAATAAATTTCCTCTAATCCTTGTAACAATTTATAAATAAATCTTTGATTAGGAAAGCCAGGTTGGCCAAAACAAGGTCTTAAAGAACAATTTTTTATTCCGATACCAATAATTCTTGGTACTTACCAATGACAACATTAATCTTTGAAAGGGACATAATCCGTTCGCTATGAAATCTAAGGAATTCGAAGAAATGACCAATAAAATTTTAAAATGATGCGGTAATGCACCAATATTAAGTAACCAATCAGGGAGCTGATTAGAGCTCGTTAATGCACAAATATTCTGTAACCAATCAGGGAGCTGATTTCGCATAGATTACGCGTAGAATTAAAATTATTTAAATAGTCAAACATAATAAAATATTTTTAAAAAATTCCAAATTAAATTGTATTTTAATATTTAACAGCCATAAATAATGTTTAGAACATTAGATTAAATAGATATTAAATTAATTTAATTTAATAATATTAAATTAATTATTTTATATAATTTAAAATTATATAAAATATCTTAAACAATAAAATTTTTATATCAAACAAAAATTCAAAATGAAATTGATTTTTAATATTTAGAAGCCATAAATATTATTTTAAACACGGAATTTATGCATAATAGAACACATTAGTTTTTAAATAAAATGGCAACGAAGTATCGGTTACCATAAATAAGTTATCCAACAATGGGTTTACTACAAGTCGTATCACTCGCCAAAAAAAAATCGCCAAAATCAGTTAACCATCTACCAAAGTAGCACCTTTAAGACTTTCAACTCTTCAATTTATAAACTTCTTTCAAAAATTTAATATTTGAAACATAACGTAAGTTACCTGTTGAGTGCAAAAAATTTTTGATTCTTCCCAAATTCTTTAGCATCATTAATAGTCTGAGGCAGGTTTTTATTTAACGTTTCCGGTAGTAGTGTGGATACGACAGCAGCCAATAAGCAGAGAATCCCAATCGTCATAAAAGGAATGAATTTGTTATAAATGCTCTGAAAATGAAAAGGAAATTTTAGACTGTAAAATGCATAGGGTCACGGTCAAAGCTGGGTTTTACCTCTACTAGAACTGGATTTGCTTGACCACTTTCAGATTTAGCCCAGAGAAACTGGCCAGAATGGCCAGAATGAAAGTAATCCTTATTTCGCGTTTTATTATTTTCTATGAAACTTACATTCTTGGCAGAGGAGGATACGTCTTCTGTTTATTTACTAAAGTAACTTAACCTTTTAATTAGGGCTGTTAATAATTAATCTGCTTAAGTTAGTTTCTTTATTTTGAAAAGTCACTTATTCGAATTTTACTTATAGCTTAATTAACAGACATGACACTTAAGTATTTTTTTAGTATAACTGCAGTTTAAAAATACAAACTGTTGATTTATCGATTTGAAATTTTTACACAGTATACAGTGAAAATTTTTATTTCCTTGTGAACCTATATCTGTTCACGTAAGTTAATTAGTTGGAAAATTGTTTGCAATATATTTTTATGCGAAATGGCGAAGATTTTTGTGGTTTTCAAAAGCTATGTTTTAACTGTGTTTTCAAGCAAGTTCATCTACTTTCGCGGTTTAATCTGGTTCTGACATTTGGATGCTGAGATATTAGGAAGCGCGTGTAAATGTTTACATTTTTTTTTTTTTTTTTTTTTTTTTTTTTTTTTTTTTTTTTTTTTTTTTTTTTTTTTTAGTTGGCATCAAGGGTAAAATAGTTTGAATTAAAATAACACAAAAGGTTAGAAATTTTTGCATTGTTTTGTCTAGGAGCGAGTGCTGAAAATTTATCCCTTCTTTTGGCGCATTTTTGGAAATGTAGCACGCTTAGCAATCATAAAATGTGACAAGAACTACTTAAATGTTGTTCCTTGCGAATTCTCCAACAGGCTTTGAAAATGAACACAACTAGGGGACGGGTGCAAAAGGGCTTTATAATTGCGCACGAATATTTAACAGATGTCAGGGATTTATATACTTAAAAGAACATCGACCACTTGCAGTGAGAACTTGAAAGATTATTTAAGACTAAATTTAAAGGCAAATAGTAGTGCGAGACTGACTAAACAATTCCTTTTAAACTGACAGGCTAACTCAGAAACCCACACCAGCAGGATACGTATGGCAGGAACACGATGGCAAGAATGCGTTGCTGCTATTACGATTAACAACTGATAGAAATTAACAAACGTTCGCTCACAATAACGAAATCCCGCTTTGTCTAACCTCTTCTCTCGAACAGTTTAAATTCTCTCGTTCACACAACTTTATGTACATCCTGGCTTGAGAAAATAAGAGAATTCAGGAAAGACTCACAATGAAAAATAACTATTAATAATAAAAATAAACAGATCCCCACAACCTTCAGTCTTTAAAAAGGGATGCATATAGCAAGAGCTCACGAACATAATCTAGAAAACGAAGACAAAAGACTTAATATAGCATGTAGACAGGAGCCCTACGTCGTTAATAACAAGATGTAGAGAATTTCATAAAAATAAAGAAAGTTTTTTAAAACACATGACGCCAAAGCGGGAGTAACAATAAAGGATCCTACACTATCGGCGATAGAAATGCTGAGCGTTCGTTGACAATATTCGCTCACAAATAATTCCTCCCGTCGTGGTAATAAGAATAGAATAAGGATCAACGAACTTGTTGGTGAAGACTTACTGTCCAACATCACAAGACCTAGAGCCCATTGTCTCCATCCTGGAAAAGGCTCTCCAAAGAAAACACAGATATTTCCATAATCATGAACGGAGATTTTAACGCGAAAAGCCCACTATGGGGGCTACCTTATTCTGACCCAAGGGGCATTAAAATCTGTAAGTTCATTCCAACCTCAGGTCTAATTATTGTAAAACTTTCTTTGAAATACTAACCTTTGCAGAGCCTAGAGACAACTCGTGGGTCGATGAGCAAGCAATCCAGAAAATAATGAAATACCATTTGCCGCAGGGTGATGCAAAAAAAGAGACAACTAAGCACACAAGAATGAGAACCTACTCTAGCATGCCCCTAGGCACGGACAATGATGTCTCCATTAGCAAAAACGAATTAAGAGCAGCAAAAGCAGCAGTAAAAAAAGGACAAAGCCTCGGACTTATACAAGCTTACAATAGAATTAATACCGAGCCTGAGGTGAGCAAATGGTTCATTTCTAAAATTTTGATAAATGCTTGGACTTGGGGTGCTTTTCTACTAAATGGAAGCAGCCGGAACTAGTTTTGTTCCAAAAATAAGGTAAACCTCCAAACAAGGCAGGAGCAGGAGCCTACAGACCATTTTGACTGCTGTCGGCATGGGCGAGCTCTTCGCAAAATGATCCCCACAAAGATTGACGGACTATCTATATTCAAACAATCTGCTCAGGACTGCTCAGTTCGGATTCACGAAGGGGAAAGCATAGTGGATACATTGAACTGCTTCCAGAACAGTTTACTGGAAAACCGCAATTAGAACCTATATTCCTGCATAATATCCCTTGATGTAGCGTCCGTCTTTATTAAGTTATAGTTACCAACGCTTAAAGCTGGAACTAATAAAGAAATTAATGTGTCCAAGCAACCTCAATAACCTGATTGAAGGGTAAAACGTAGGACCCATATTGTGGAATATCATAACGCAGAGCGCGTTAAAATTAGACCTTGAAGATACAGATAAATCCCAGGCCTAGGCAAAAGACTTTGTAATCATCATTGCGGGAGAGAACAGGAGAACATCGATGGAAAGAAAAGCTGTAAATGCATTCTAAATTCTAAGGAACTGGAGCAACAAGTACAAACTAAAGTCAAGCGTCGAAAGGTCACAGTGAATAATGTTCCCCCAAAGCAGACAGAATTGAATCTAATCCCCCACGAATCAAATGGCATTGGGACCGCTAAGAAGGCAGAGTTCTCTGAAATAATAGACAAAAGGCTTTATATTAGACAAAAAGTTGATATGGGACCCGCAGTTAACAGAAGTCAGGGAGGTGACCAACAAAGTAATTATCAAATTAAATCTCATATTCAGCACAACATGAAATCTCAGAGGTAGGGGTTCTAAAGAGCTTTGCATTAGAGGAATAGAGCAAATATTCAACTTCTAAGGATGTCCTGTTTGGATAACAGTTACAGGTGACAGGTGAAAACGGATCCGGACACCCGGGGGGCTTCCTAGGACTATTCGAGTATCGTCAATGGATAATAGTTACAGTGAGGGTATGTCAGAAATAAACCAGATTCAGAGATTTGCACTCTTACAAATCACGACTGCTTACCCCGCAACCCCAATGGCGGCACTGCAAGTCTTGGCTGGGATAATATCACTAAATCTTAAAGCCATCTATGAGAAAATGACGCACCGTTTATTGCAATATGGGAAAGACCCCCGACTCAAAGGAGAACTGATCGTAGGTGGTGAATGTGTGAAACCCAACTGTAGGACGTATTCTAATCCCTTGCGTTGGAACATCACATCAAATGGACAAAATGTCTCCCTCAAGTGTTCAAATGGGAGATTTTCACGAACAGATCGAAGATCAATGAACGGGTAGGAGAAACATTCATTATTCCCAAATGCAATAAAGAAGTCCACAAGGAAACATTTAAATTAAGTGATCACGCCACAGAATTTCAAGCAGAATCCTTCGCTCTGAAAAGAGGGACATTCGGAGCCGAAGAGACAAACGAACAAGACATGTACTACTAAACAGATAACATGTGTCTGCTTCAAGCTGTCCAGAAAAGAAGTCGCAAGACTCCTGACATCGAAGCACATAAAACGGTTCTCATAATCATCAAGAAAAAAACCTGATCACCCTCATCTAGATAAGGGGGCAAACAGGAGCTATAGAAAATGACAGAGCATACACTTTAACCAAGAAAGGGACGCTCAAGCCAACAATAGAATTTAGTCTTCCGATTTCCGAAGAAACAACAAATCATAGAATCCGAAGCACAATACTATAAGAATAACAACTGAGATGGCAGAGAAAGGACACATGTAGCTAAATATTTAAGATCTTCCTGAACATTATTAAGAAAAATTAAATCGGACAGTATTTTTGTACAACCGTGTACCGACCACGGAAAATGCCCAGCCTGTCATATCAGTTTTCAAAGGAAGCACGTGGCCTGCGCATGCGGGGTTTGAAAACGATTCTCATAATCATCAAGAAAAAATCCTGGTCACCCTCATCTAGATAAGGGGGCAAACAGGAGCTATAGAAAATGACAGAGCATACACTTTAACCAAGAAAGGGACGCTCAAGCCAACAATAGAATTTAGTCTTCCGATTTCCGAAGAAACAACAAATCATAGAATCCGAAGCACAATACTATAAGAATAACAACTGAGATGGCAGAGAAAGGACACATGTAGCTAAATATTTAAGATCTTCCTGAACATTATTAAGAAAAATTAAATCGGACAGTATTTTTGTACAACCGTGTACCGACCACGGAAGATGCCCAGCCTGTCATATCAGTTTTCAAAGGAAGCACGTGGCCTGCGCATGCGGGGTTTGAAAACGATTCTCATAATCATCAAGAAAAAATCCTGGTCACCCTCATCTAGATAAGGGGGCAAACAGGAGCTATAGAAAATGACAGAGCATACACTTTAACCAAGAAAGGGACGCTCAAGCCAACAATAGAATTTAGTCTTCCGATTTCCGAAGAAACAACAAATCATAGAATCCGAAGCACAATACTATAAGAATAACAACTGAGATGGCAGAGAAAGGACACATGTAGCTAAATATTTAAGATCTTCCTGAACATTATTAAGAAAAATTAAATCGGACAGTATTTTTGTACAACCGTGTACCGACCACGGAAGATGCCCAGCCTGTCATATCAGTTTTCAAAGGAAGCACGTGGCCTGCGCATGCGGGGTTTGAAGCCAATCAAGCAGGAGTGCTTGAACACCTTTCATAAATTAGTTGAATATAATCTTATTTTTTTATTTTGGGTATCATTCATACATCATTATTCGCCCAAATACTTACTGTCATAAAAATTTAGTATCATTGCAAACCTGCCAGAATCGAATGAAATTTTACATATCTGTGTAAAATGTTAAGGTAGATAAGTGATTAAAAAAAGGAAACCGACTCTTTATTACAAGAAAAATTACAAATGAATGGAGGTTCTAATATCCTATTGCGTCACTTATAGCGTGAATATGCCATGCAATATGGACAATCATTAAGACATACAGCTCCCGAATGGTGTCCTGCCCATGTCATTCCTCAGCTGCTGTTAGCGTGGCTTTAGTTCGATCAAACTCTTAACTGCTCAAATTGCTGAAAACATGATAGCATACATGCTCGATCCATAGCAAACTGAACGTTTTATTGCAGGCCACGGAAAGGTGGTAAGGTGATAATGTGACTGAAGCACTGCTGTGACACCCTTTCTTAGTGTTGCAAGGACTGTCATGGTGTCTAGATTAATATTAGATGTGAACTGATATCGTATGCGAAGGCTCCTTATTCCATCACACTAACCAAGAGAGCGAGGTGAAGCTATAAAGCAAAGGGAGGATTGAGGAGTTTATGATTGAGTCTCCAAACACGTACGCGGTTGTTATGACTGCTGCTGTGAATGTCGATTTATCTCTGAAGTCGATTTAAGTCCACTCGTCTACCACGCAACCTCGTCGAACGATTAGCCTTAGCCTTTTCATACTAAAGCTACAGTGGATGGATGTCATTGCAGCACATATGAGGAACAGTGCAATATATAATGCCCAGATCCCGCATGGTACAGACATACAAAGAGGCCAGCCTCAAAAGTGCTGTTTATTTCCGAATGGTGGAAATGATGCAGTACGCGGTTGGGGCAAGTCAGGTGATGTGAAGAACCTTTTGAATGTTGGTCTGCCGAAGGCGCCTTGAGCCCGGCTCGCCTGCAACCGATCTCTCTTCTATTGATATCGATATCTCTTCAAAGTGTAAAAAGAATAGTTTAGATGACTGGCTGCTTAGCAAGCTGATCCTTGGCTGCCCATCTCGACTAAATTTTCCCTGTTTAACTCTCATAGCTGATCATATTTTATTGCAATGCGATGTAAAATCATCCAGGTGAAAAGAAGAAGGTGTCCCTCTGCAACAGAGTAACTACAACAACATGCATTTGCGAATTTGTTATGCGCGAGGGGGGGGGCAAAACTTCCAACGCCATCTGGCGGCAATACGCAGTGCGCAAACTAGCTGTACTTCTAATCATTTGCGAATATTAGCTTCATGCCAAGTTTCGTTGCAGTTCGTTCATTACCCTTTGGCGCCTAATTTGCTATGATAAAATTTCTATATTATACATTGATATCGACCGCATTAGAGAGTTTCTAAACAATATTTCGTCATATATTAGTCATGTAAATATGGAAATAGTTCCTCAATCTCTGTTACTAATTCTAAAATTTATTAACCGATAGTGACTAAAACTTGAATTCACTTACCTGCTAAAGGCAAAAGGCATGCCAATCCCATGAAAATGAAGTTGGTAGCTAAAGTAAACCTTCTTCCAAAGCGATCTAGCATGTACCAACATATAATACATCCAGGTATTTCTGCCAGTGAGAGAATGGAAAAGTTAACGAATTCGTTTCCCATTAAGTTATATATGTTCAATTGAAGACCATAGTAAGCTAGATACACAGTTGCCCTGAAATTATGTGTAAATTATTACATTTAAGTAGCAATAACAAAACAAAAATTCAATACGATTAGCCAAAGTCGAATGATTATATTTTTGACCGTTCAGTCAATAGATGATGATTGGTAGCCACATCAAGCTAGTAAAGAACTGAACACATTTGCTTTCACGTTATACTTATTCTACGCAGAAATGTTCAACAATAATAATGATTGCGCATTCAAACCATGTTGTATGCGCACACCAATATATTCTTTGTCACCGATTCGGCAACGAAAGAACGCAATTTTTCACTTCTTAATGAAAGCATGGAAAATGTTGAATAAGAAAAACGTTGTTGCGAATTCTGGTCGATACTGGTACTGAAACACTCTAACTGTTATAAATTTTTGTTAATGTTCAGAAAGTAGCTAAGATGCGTGTTGTCGGATCATAGGCCGTGTAAAGTTTGTCCCTCATTATATTGTACCAATAAAGGAATAATGTGTCATATATCTTCAGTTATTGTCTCTAAAGTCCATCAAGTTAAGAACTAAACAAAAATTTTCTTTTTTATTTCAATTGTTTCTGTTTTATTTGTCGATTGAGCTCTTTTGTTTAAACTTTATTGTGAGCCAAAATACTGAATTATTAAGGGTATAAATGTTCACTGCTTGGATTCAAAGATAATACCCGTAGAGATGTGATGAATTCGAGTGAGGATTTAATGAAGTGGAATCTTGCCTAGTTTTGCTCGGTTACCCATGAGAAATCACATTAGGGATTTATAACGTGAAAAGAAAATTCAAGAACTTTCCTTTTCATCGATGAACTACTAATCACTGTTCACTTATGCATTCTACATTTCAGACATCTGAAGTTTCATATTACATATTTTAAGTTACTTGCAGTAGTTATCAAATAAGAGAAATTATAAATTTTCTTACCACATGATGCTGAGTGTGATAAATATTTTCCTCAACTTAGAATACTTCAGGATATCCAAAGTAGAGTGTTTTATGTCTACTTCCTGCTTCGTCCTGCACCTTTCACCCAGTTTCTAGTAGAAAATTAAAAAGAAATTGATTATCTAACTTAAAAATATTAAGAAATTCTAATATAAAATATAAAAACATTAAGAAAACAGAAATCGAAAATATTAAGAAATTCGTACACACGTTACACATGGGGAAAGGGCAGCCCGTTCGCAGGATTCGAACCTCAGACTAAACTACCAGTGTTCAGCGACGTTACTGCTCAACCGTTGGTGGGCCTTTTTCCCCGTTTAACCATTGAAATAAATTATATACAGTATTAGGCGTCTAGTTTACATTTTGCGCAACAGATATCGTTAGTTGTCCACTAAATTAAGGCATTTGAAGGCACGTGGTATTAGCGCTCAATCTTCACTTTTTGCCGCTTTTTTCTTACAGAAATGGCTGCTAGAAAACGTTCAGCGGTTATCTTGATTATTTAATTAAATTATTGAATCATTAATTAGATTAATAATTTAGATTGATTAATAATTAGATTTATTGAATCTGGCGCAAAAACTGTGAAGTTGGACTTTGCCTTGAACCCTGTTTTGAACTTTATCACACTAAACTGCATTTTTAAAATATTTATCCCTCAGCGCTTTATGTTTTCTTAAATTTTATACATTTTACTTTTTTATATTATGCAATAAATAGAAATTAACTGTAATTCGATCTGAAATTTATTTAGAAAAAGATTTTTTTTGTTGATAACATCTGAAATTGGTTTTTCTGGCAACTTAGTTTCACATGATAAAAATCTATATAAAAATATTTTCTAGAATCAAAGAGTGCATTTTCAATTCTCCATTACGTATAAATTTAAAATATGAAGGAAAAAAAAAAAAAAAAAAAAAAGAAGCGATTTCGTTTCACAAATTGAGCAGTCAGAGGGTTAATGACTGTATTTAGACACTTAAATTAATACCTTACAATAATGATGTTAAAAAATTTAGACCACTTGCACTGCCGGAAACGTAATTGTAAGCATTTAATAATGCATTAATCATAATAAATGCACTAATGTACACAGCGCAAAAATGTCGGAACAGTTCAATATCTCAATTTCCACTGGGCCGATTGACGAAATTCAAATTGCGTTTTTCATGTCGCGAAAGCGCAACTTAGGATTTGTATTAGATTTATATGTAGCACTGTTCTAATGTAGGTAGTTTGACACAAAATCGGACGTTTTCGGAAATGACATGGCACTTTTTTCCCATATTTCGATTCTACGATTCAAATTATGTCAAACCGCCAAGTTTTCTAAAAATCGCACGAGTAGTTTTTAAAAACTTAGTTCTCAAAATTTTAGCTCCTCAATCTTAGTTAAATTTGATATATAGTTATTGATTTTTATTATATCTTTTTTTTATAAATCCTACTTGAATCCTTCTTCCAGAACTCGAAATTAATTTTTAATCCAAATATAATTCGCACATTTTTATGATTTATTTTTTAAATTTGTATTTTAAAATATTTTTTATAAATTTTTCGAAAAGAATTTTGCATTATGACCTAAAAAACTTTTACATCATCTTAAAGTAGATGCATTTCTAGGCACACCTGCAAAAAATTAGGGTTTTTCATTCAATGTTTCTAAAATACACATGAATTTACATATTGCAGGGTTTAGAAATTTAGCACCTTTTTTTTTTGGGATAATAACGCCAAACGATAATATGTACATTGTTAAAATTACTTGAAAGAAGGAACGATGACTTTTTATTCGCTCGACTGCAATGAAAAAAAAAAGAAAAGGAAAATAGGGTGCTATAAATTAAGAACTTCGCCGAATAAATTATACTTGTCGAAAATTGAAAAAATACGCCAAGATAAACTTTTGAGTTTCTCCGTAAATTTCGCACCAAATTTTACAAAATTTAACATTTAGGCATAATTTATGTCGTAGAATCGAAATCAGGAAAAATATTGACATTATTGAATATTGAAATATTGAATTAGTTCCTCAGTGTTAATTGAGTTTGGTATATATTTATTAATTTCTCTTTTTTATTAAACTTATTTGATTCTTTATTTCACATTTCGAAATTTAGGTTCATTCCAAATAAAATGCACCCATATTTTATGATTTATTTTTAAAATTTGTATTTTTAAATATTTTTTATAAATTTTCAAAAACATTTTTGTATTATAATCTATAAAATTTTTACCATTATCTTAAAGTAAACGTATTTCTAAGCATACCTGCAAAAAGTTAGTTTTTTTATACAAAATTTCCAAAGATATACGTGAATTTATATATTGGGGCGTTTTAAAATTTGGAATATTTGTTGAAAGCGAGAATACATCAAATGTTGTTTAGACGCTTTGCTAAAATTATTTGGAAGTAGAAACGATGTGACTTTTTTTACTCTCATGCACAATGTAAAGAGGCAGGAACTAGGTACCTTTTTTTCCGGTCGGGCATAATGGAAGGGAAAGGAAATTTGGTTGCCACATAGTAAGAAGTTCGCCAAGTGAATTATTCTTGGTACTCTTCATTTAGCTTAATGTGTGGCACTTGGCGAAAACTGAAAAAAAATTTTTCCCAAGATAAATTTTTGAATTTCTCTGTAAATTTCGCACTGAATTTTACAAAATTTAATATCTCATCATAATTTGAGTCGTAGAATCGAAATAGGGAAAAAATTGGTATGTCATTTCCGAAAAAGTCCCATTTTGTGTAAAAATACCTATGTTAAAATAGTGCTATATATAAATCTAATATATATCCTAAGTCGCGCTTTCGAGGGATGAAAAACGCAATTTGAATTTCGTGGATTGACCCAGTAGAATAAGAAATATAGAACTGTACCCCCATTTTTCCCCGCAGTGTACGTACGATTAATGGAATATGCACGTGCTTTTTTTGACCCCCCCTTTTCTTACGCAGTGTACGTGTTTTTCGCCATGTGAAGAAAGAACCTGAAAGCTGCGTATATATTGACATTAGAACTTGAAACCTGCTGTATAAACCATTTAACTACCGGTACCTTCATTCGTACTTTCTATGCATGTTTTTTTCTTGACGACGCACGAGGGTTACTGAAATTTCTGAGACACAGCTAACTGACACAAGTTAAACTTACGAAATCTGACGAATATTTAAATTAGTTGATAAAATGTTTAAAGTCATCCATTTCTTGAAACTGATAAATACAAACAATCTCATCCTTGGAATGAAAACAACCGCTGAGTAATTTTTTTTCTTTTTTTTCCCCTTCTTTTTTTTTTCTCTTTTTGTTTTTGAAAAATAGCAAATCACATCTAGCAAGATCAAGGTGGACGTTTTATCGACTTAATATGTGTTTGCTCCTAAACTCTAACTGTCATTCTCATTGAATGTGTAGATGCATTAGCATGGTAAAAATGGATTCCCATAATTTTCACTCCTTAAAGAATTTTTGGAAAACAGTTAATGATAAAGCAGTTAGCTGTAATTGTCTTCTGTCTCTCTGACTTAATGGTTTTCTGTCAATCCCGAACTTCTGAAGATAACCGTTTACATTAATATTTCGCCCATTGGGGACTGAATGCTACATGTATTACCTTTATCTATAAACATACATTATAATTTTTAAGGGGTTTTGGAATCCACAAATCTTAAAAAAATGGTGATTCCGGGTTTTTGCATTTTCAAATTCGCTACACTTTTATCTTTCTAAAAATACCATTTTTTAATCTCTATGAATATTAGAACTGTAAAAAATATATTTTTAATTTATCATCGAATGCTTTGATAAATGAAAATTTTTACATAAAAACGCGTTTTTCTCCAAACGTGATTTTTTTATACTCGATGTATTTTTTCTCAGGAACTACTGCTCGCAGGTATCTAAAATTTTTATGGCTTTTTTATTAGGTTTCCTAATATTTATTGATATGAGCTTTTTGTGATAAACTAAGGAAAAAAATTTAAAAATTTTTTCTGTGAGAAAAGTGTTAAATTTTACTATGCCTAACAAAATATTCTGTAAATTACTCTAAAATTCAAAATGTTACAAAAGCTCATATCAGTATAATCATATAGGTATACTTTAATTACACAAAAAATTTAAAGCGTGTATCTACACCAGATTTTGAAAAAAAAAGGTACATCAAAAATGGCCAATTTCATTGTCGATATAGGGGTTTCTGATACCTCTTAAATAAAGAGGACGGACGAGAATGCTAGGTAATTGGGTTTTTTGAAATATTTTCACTTTTAATCCCTTTTTATCAGCTACACTTTTACTGGATATTTTCACTCTTTCGTGAATCGCTTTATTTCAATGAAATCATAATTTTCGGAATTCTAATATAAATTTAGTTTTTATAGAAAGAAAACAGAAATATATGGAAATTGTATTTGAAAAATAACAGTTTATGAGAAAATGTAATACACACCAGAACAAAGATTCTAGCGTCTTTACATTTAATATAATATACTGAATAAATCACAATTAATGCATAATTAAGCATATTGACTCGATTATAACTTTATACCTCAATCAGTGCCTTCAGAGTAGCTGAATCTTTGGTTTTCCCATTCTTTTCACTAATTCCCTTCACAATTGTTAACGCCTCTCCATATCGCTGATTTGTTATTAACCAGCTTGGCGATTCGGGAAAAAATCTGAAAACAGAACACTTCTAAAAAAAATTAAATCTAGACATAGGTGCAGAAAACAGGTTTTACAAGCAAGTACAGGTAGAAATGGACGGATCGGAGGATAGTAGTTGAATACTCCCTCTTTTCTTTCTATCATTAACACTCAAGAGGACCATCATCTCCCGAGTATTTTAAGTGCACCCATACCACTCATGCATTATGAACATACGAACCATTCATGCGTACTCTGGAATTTTAACTAACTCTACTACAGACAACATCGCTGTACTGCAAACAGTAGCTAGCAGACAGACTGCAGGATACTTAACTACTTAACTAACACCTTCAGCGTCATTTTATGAAATAGGAATGTATAAAACTTTAATTCTAAGCAGCCGATACAACTAAGAAACAAACGAAGAAAATAAGAAATCTAACTAAATAAAATACTCGTTCAAATCCCCCTAAACTTGTCCTCCAAGAAGATTCCCTGACACTTCCAGCAAGGTCACTATATTCGGAATACATACAACGTAATAATAATAATAATTTTATAGCAAAATGATTTACTTTGACAATTTTCGCAAATGGAGATTTTACATCTTTAAGTATCTATTTGCTTGTGCTTATAATACATACATAAAGAGTCACAAAAACACAAATTAATTTAGTTACAATTTCGAGAAAAACATTTACAACTCAATTTCAAAATATGCATGATTAATTAAATTGTTTAAATTTTTATAATCCCTAATATAGATTTCTCATTTGTGAATAAAGTTTTCCCATTTTCTCTTGAAATATGAAAAAAATATTCTTCAGTAATATAAATCATCTTTATGCATTCCCACAAGTAATGTGTAAAATCTATATATTGTGCTTCCCAACCACATTCACATTTTACATTCTTTTTATAAAATCTATTCAAATATTCTGGATATTGTCCATAACCTGTCAATGCTTGATTTATTCTTTTATCGCTCAAAAGTCTTGTCTTCTTTACTTTAGAAAAAACCATTAAAAAAAAATTTCTCAGTATTATCATTTTCCCATCGATCTTTCCACTTTTTCATAATTTCATTCTGCAATAACGTTTTTACGTAATCCATTGAGATGATGGAAAAATATCTATATACCCTTCTTTGTTGCGTCATTTGCAGCATTATCTACTGTCTTATTTCCCAGTCTTCCTGTTTGAGTTTTTACCCAATTTGCTCTGAAATTATATTTTTCCATAAGTTCCACAGTTTTGTTTCATACTTCAGTTATCTTTCTAGTTATATATTTTCTGGAGTTTAATGGTTTCAACAAACTCTAAGAACCAGTAATATCTGAAACAGCAATTTGCCAAACCGCTTTTTCTATCCAGGTACCTAAAACAGATTCTTGGATAGAAAAAGCGAAACATTTTAAAGCTTCTTTGAAGGCTTATAATTCAGCCTCAAAAGTATTTCTTTCATTCAATCTAATACCTTTGTCTTCAGATTTCTGTTCAAGTTACAAAGGCAGCTCCTATTGTCTCGTCTATATCACCGAGCCATCAGTAAAAATCTCTAAACCACATCCCTGTAGAATATTTCCTTCCTCTTTACAATAAAGATCTTTGTTTTTGAGGGATGACAATAATATTTAGCTTCCTTTAAAGGCAATAGGCGCGTGGCTTACAGTTAAACTGATTTGTATACTTGCTGTTGATACTGTCTTGCAGCATCCAGTAATAGACAATAAGGCCACTCACTGAATCTGTAACAGTATAACTCTTGTCTTTTTCTTTCTTGTTCCAGGACACGAAAGCACAATATCAAATGATTCTTTCTATTCGATTTTTATCCAATTCCTTAAGTAGAGTTTTATTTCTATAATTGTTTTCATTTACCAATCTATTTAATTTATTAACAATTTTATATATCTTAAATCTGACATTTGGTCAAGCGAGGAATCCAGCTAAAATTTGTCTCTGTAGTTACTCCCAGATACTTTACAAATTGTTTACTAATGATGTTACTGTTTTTCCATTTCCTGTTCTTCCAGATGCATTGAATTTAATGTTGGTGTGCACAATAATGCTATTCTAGGTTTTCGAGAAAGTGAATACATTATTTGATGTAACACTGCACTTCTAACCAGAATGACTTCACGGAATTAGCAATTTGATGATTTTTTTTTCTGTTGGCATTTGAAGCCATCATTTTGAAGTGAACATCGAAGGAAAGGAATAAAAAAGGAGGACGAATGCGTCATGACAATCTAGAAATAATAACGGCTAATAAAAGCATGAAATGAAATTAAGTAAATAGAATTCAAATGCCATTGAAATATAGTACATCTAAGAATCTAGATGGAATGAAAGCTGATTATTTATTTATAGATCAAAGTAACCATGATGGTGAAGATGAAACGGACCGGAATATATGGTGTTTCATTTAACTATTCTTTCAAAAAGGTGTCTGAAAATTTGTTCTGTCCCAATACATTCTTGACTCACTGCCGTCCACTGTTCTTCATAAAGGTACAGTGAAATTAAATTCAATTTTATCTACTTTTATATTAAATCATCTATTTTGCTTGTTTAATATTATGTGTTAAATTACATTTTTTTTTCGTTTTATGTTAGCTGATTCTCATTGGTTTTAAATTATGAACTTGTAGACAAAGTACTGTTGTAAAGCTTAGATAAGCTGTCGTCTGTGTCTAGTGACGAATTAATTCGTTTTACATTAATCCCTGTGGGAAAAATTGTTTCGGTCCTCGGATATTTCGTGATTAATGGCCTTCAGGAAATATTTCAATTCGTGAACTAAGGTTTCAGTGCATGTTATTACATAGTACAATGTAATTATTTTAAAATAATTCTGGTTATTTATGAATACGCCTCCGTAATTAACATATTCACCGTAATAACTTACCTTAAATAAAGGAAAGGAATAAGAGCAATACAGCTAGTTGTGATACTTAGTGATAGCCAGCTTCTTGTGAGGAATGCAATGAGAGCCAATAAGCAAAGTCCGAAAGTCCAGAAACAATGCACTATCCCGTTTATTCGACTGCGTGATTCTGGTGAGACAATTTCGAGCACTGTGAATATGCAATAAAAGTTTGCTCTATTATTTTATATTTAATAAATCTGATAAAATAAATCTATAATTAACTGTTCAATTAATAACACTGTAACAAATGTACAACTTTAAATATTTAAATTTCTCTTAAAAAAATTTTCCAAATCGATTTAAGAACTGAGATCAAGTTTAGTTGCTCGTACTTGAATTCAAAATTTCTTAATTATTTCAGTTTCTCTAACATTACAAAATACTCTTATTATAATAAGTATTAACTATTCTAACAGGAGAAAATAAAAACCAATTAGTTGAAATGATTCATTAGAAATTAAAATTATCCAATGATTCTCAAAACCATATATATATATATTCTGGTGCTTCTCGATTAGAAATATTTTTTAAAATGCGAAAACTTCTTTGTCAGTGGGTTTGCTGTAACTGAATTATCAAGTCCTTAAAGTATTCTATTTGAAGCTTTGCACTTTCTGAAGCAATCTAATGAATCTCTTTGTCGATTTCCAGTTCATTATAACTCTTTCACAGCGAAGCCGTCCTAAACGCCCGTGCATTCAGACATCAGCTGGTCGCTCCTTTCTACCTGGTGCTTTCCCCTATTACATTAGTGCATGTCTTATTGATTTAGGGAGTTATTAAATGACATACCAGTCATTCATTTAAAGCGACTAAAAGTAGCTCTCTTATTTGAATGCACCTTCCTTCTCCTTTGCTCAGCTTGTGGGGTTCCAACCTGTTATCTAACAGCTAAGTGTGTAGGAACCTCGTGAACAGGTAAGCGAATATTCGATTTAGTTCAGAAACAGATACGTAAAACCCAAGAAGGGTTAATTATTCTTTATTTCTCAAAATAAGAATTCCACAGATGGTCCCTTTCTCAGGATGTACAGCAAAGCCTACACTTGGGTTCGAACTGAATCTTAACTAAAGCTTAACTAAAAGATACAGCCTAAGCTATCCATATTTCTACGTGGTTAGCCCCTAAATATTAATTAAGCTGGCGAAGCTATAAAGGGCCTGAGATACGGCCGAGCGAAAAGAAAGTATAGCCAAAAGGCAAACGCGCTAGTCAGAATCTTTGGCTCTTTAACGAAGTCAGCGGAACTTCGCCTTAAATACCGCTCTTCCTCATTTACATTAACCGCGATTCTAAAAACACATTCTGGTAGGAATGTGTAAGCTGAAATTAAGAAGGACAGGAAACTAAAGATAACCGTCACAAACTTAGCATGAACCTTACAAGCACCAACATTTAGGTATTGATTGTCACAGTTTCAAATCCTGTCCTAAGGGAAAACTGCTAACCGTGTGTGAAACCGCCCATAGATCCCCGAGAGAGAATCATTCCTATCACTAAAGTAGATTAATATTGATTCTGTAGTATTCTACTTGTCATGGGGGGGGAGGAAATACATTCCAATAAAAATTCGTATGTATGGGCGTTTCAAATGTTTGATAGGAGTAGATTTTGCTCCCTACCGACGCAAAAGAGTTAAGCTAAAGCATATGACCCAAAAAGAGAAAGCCTGACGTTTAAAAAGATACTGTAGTGTTACTTAAGACTATAATATATATATATATATTTGTTTTACTATTTGTTATATTTTGTAATTGCAAGGGAAGCAAAAGTTATTTACAGTAGTAATGTAAATAATGTAATGCTGATAGAACTTAGAGCAAAATAATTACAAAATAAATGTATAGCTTTTGAAATAAAATCTTTATTTGCGTATGGAATCCTTTGTTGTGGATAAAGAATATGTAATATCTTACCATTACACACAAACAGAGTGTAAAAAACGTATTCCATTTCATGCATTAGTGATAAGAAATTAAAATCTATAGCTCAGCAGAGGATTTATGGACAGACTTGGAATCTTTATTAATAAACTACAAAACTCAGAAAAAGATTATAAGATTTAATAATTCATGATTAAAAATTACTTGTTCTTAAGGATCCGACATTGAAATGCAAATTATATTGAATATTAAGAACTTTAAGAATTGATATATTATTACATTCGTTCTTTATATATTGGATTTAAGAAACAAATATAATTCTGATGGGGACACAATGTGACTTCCTTCTACGCACGATTAAATTACAGACGACATCACGGACGAAAACGTCGCGGAGAAAACAATGCAAGGCGAAAACGTCGTCATACGAAATATTGTGAGAGAAGAGAAAACATGGCGGTATAAAACAACATCGTAGAAAATAAAGTGATTCAAAAACATCGCTGTTATAAAACTTCGTCGTGGTAAAGAATAAAGGACCTACAAATCATCGCTTGGTGATAACATCGAAGACATGTGTTTTTCATTTTTCAAATGTTGTAGATGTATATTCTTATAATTATTTGGGAGCGCAAGATGGAATGACCAATTTATTTTAGGCTTTTAAATTAATTAATAATTTTTTGCCAAAAATGCAAGAAGGAAGCTGAAAATGAATAGAAAATTAATGCTAAACATAACAGTTAATAGAATTTTAAACTTATATAGTAAATATTAAAGATAATTATTTAATTAACATGTTTTATAAATTTGTATTGGTAGCCTTTAATGAAAAATATAGCGTAAAATTGATTAGAAAAGAGAATACGAGAAACTGCATATGGTTATATATATTAAGATTCTTTAATCAATTACCAAATTATAAAATTATTTTCCTTCACTTAGAATCATTAAGCGAATATACATTTACCATTTCTAGCCCACAAGCGTCCGAGCGGTAAAGTCGCTGAACACTGGTAGTTCGGTTCGAGGTTCGAAACCCGCGATATGACTGGCTGCATGGGGGTATTCGTTGTTTTCCCCATGTGTAACGTGTACACGAGTAAGTTTACCTTTAAAAGTCCTCCACGAAGGCATCCCTTCCCTTAGGCAGATAGCCCAAGTGTGCTTTGCCATAATTAAATACACCATTTACCATTTCTAAGGCCTGAAAAACACATGCTCGCGATGTTATCGTCATAAAGATTTGTAAAAATGTAAATCATAAAGATTTGGTATCACTATATTTTCAACGATCGTTTCAACCTGCAATGTTTATGAATGGCTTTATTTTCGACGACGGTGTTTTACACCATTAAAATTTAAAATTGCAATGTTTTCTTTTACTTTTTCTCCCACAATATTTTATACGGATTTGCTTTGTCTTGCGTTATTTTTTCCGCGATGTTCTCGTCCGCGATATTTCTGACGGACACCACTTAATCTACCAAATAATTTTTGCTGCTAAAAACCTCGCTAAGTTCATTTACGTTCCTTATAATATTCAGTAGAAAAAGATGCAAGAAAAACTTATCCAGAATGATATATGAAGAACTTACTGATAATTAACGGCAGTTGGAACATTGTAGGGAATAGACAACCGTTAATGGTCCTTAAAATTATGAAGCAAGTTAAATTTCGAACCAATGCGGAAGGAAGTTCAGTCGCTACCCCCAAGAAGACTGAAAAAAAGAAGATCCGCTTGCGTCCGAACCTAGAATCGATAACACGTGTTTCAGAATCGTTATAATTGTTGCTTTTTATGTCAGAAACTCAAGTGCTAATAAATTAGTTTAATAAATTCCAGAACACAAGACTGAATGAATCAAAAAGGAATTAATAAAAACTGAAAATTTTGATTTTAAGGGTTGCCCAAAAAGGTTGTAGGGCTTTTTTACGTTCTGGTTGCTCTTTCAGTCTACCAGTTTCAAACCACTCACATGTACACCACTCATTCCTGCTATCCCATTCTTTTTTTTCTTTCTTTCTTTCTTTTTTTTTTTTTTTTCTTTTTTTTGTCCGAAGGGACAATTTGCCCAGAAGAACTATTGATTTTGTTTTCGCATTTTGCGTTGATTCACTACAAGCGCCGTTTCACTTTTCAAATTGTTGCCACCCAATATTATCGCCCTGTATTATATTTAAAGAAAAGAAATATGAAGAATTCTGCATAAATGTATATATGTTTCTCGCAGTGTGATAAAACAACGGTACCTAGAGCCATCCAGTTTTGAATGACGTAATCCTTCTTCGAATATGGGCAACTGGAAGTCCAAATTGGAAATTTGGAATTTGTTTTATGATCGATTTAATATTTTTGTGAAACGTTAACGAGTTTTTCATTATCAACCTCAAGTATTTCAGAGCGAGCAATGGCAACGTTGCACAGAAAACACATTTTTATCTCCAGCGCTCGAGACTCTGTATCGGAAGTTCTAAAGATTTGTTCAATTTTAAACTAGTTTGCGATACTGTCTCCCTTTTAGGATATTTGTCACTGACTCGAACGGCTTTTAAAAGATGCTTTCCCCATTACTCGACCCTGTTTCGCTACACCTTTAAATACCTTTTCGTACAGCTCAATTGTTCATATAGCTCATATTTTTTCATATAACTCAATTGTTTTTTAAAATTTAGAAATTTTCTTTTTGTTAATACACACATAATTAGTAATTTTTAATTCTGTTCGATAGGGTAGGGCCTTCGGTCCAGGTACCCAGGTGTGTACATCATTCCCCCCTTGAAACAGAGGAGAAGGAAATTATTTTATTGAAATTGCAAGTTTTCAACTTGTACAGAGTTTCAAGAGAGTCATCTATCCGATGGATTTCTAATTCTGGAGTATTCTGAAATTAGTGTACTCATCAGATCCGCAAGATTTGTCAGAAATGAAAGATGCCATAAAATATAAAGCAGGATCTGGCGATTGGGTTCCCTAAAACCCAGTCCCCCTTTAAAAGGGTGAGTATATAAAGTATTTCTCCCGCCTTCTTAACATGCCTTCGTGGTGTAGCGGTCAGCACGCTCGACGCGTATTGGAGAGATCCCGGTGAAGGCATTGCTCATTTTTCACTTCTCCTGCTTTCAAAAATGCCTAATGTCTCTACAATATATTGGAGAATTTTTTATGGCCACCTTGTATATACTGCAAATAAAAGAAAATTTAGCAAATTTGTTTACCGCTCTTCTATCCTCTTTTTCCTGTGAGGTCCCTAGACATGGTTTAGGAGCAATCTGCCCGAAGAACTTTGCTTCTGCCATAGAATTATTGCAGTAAATAGAAATTATAGCTTTAAAACGAAGCTTTTCTCACTTTCTAATAATTGCAGTAATTTATGTAATAATTTGAACCTGACATTTGCCGATACATTCCAAAACATGATTCAAGAGCATCAGTTTGAAATTTTCCTAACAATATATATTTCAGCTTCATACTTTTGAAACAAGTGTGTAATCAATTGAATGAATGCATCTGTAGTTGTTATTAATGCCTGAAATGGGACAGACTTCTTTTATTGGGACAGACTTGTTCCCATATCTTAAGCCACAACACTAGTTTCTTTAAGAAATTAATCTGTTCAACATTCTGAGAGGTTAATTTATCATTAAAGCGCCCACTTTGAAAACTACGTTTACAGTTTACAATTTTCCACCTTCTTATAGGTGATTCAGGTGAAGTAGTGGCATGCTCGTTTTTGTCGTAATTGGATTTGCAACCAAACACACTGCAGTGTCGAAGCATTCTGTATTCAAATATGCTATTAGAATAGAGAATCCCTAATGTACTATACCAAATAAACATTCAAAACAATACTATGCAAAATGTAAAAACATGAGTAAATGCATTCGATGTCAAAACGAAATACATGAATAGGTTTGAGAATAGCTGCAAATTTTCCCAAATAAATCAGAAAGATATAAAACTATTATTTAGCATTATATAAAGCTTAAGTTATTTAAAATCACTTAGAATAGCAAAATAATCCACTTACATAAACACTACTAGCAAAATATATATCCACAAAATCTACGATCACGGATTCTCAACCACATACTACCACAAAATCATATCCATTATCTGGATCACATGGTTTTTGCACTTCAAGGCCACTATTTCTTTATTTACCGTGTTCATTCTCCGTTAACAGTGAAAACAATTCTTTTATCAGTTCAATATTTGGAGTAATAACTTTTAGCTCTGTTTCTATTTTTTTTTTTAATTCTCGCTGTTGCTATTCTTAGCGGCGTGCGCTTCTTTATAGTTTTCTGAAGTCTATTCATTACGACATACAAAATTTTCACTTACCTCTTCTTCTTTTACTGGAATCCCGGGTTTTCTAGCATCAGAAATCTGTAGTAACTAATTCCATTACCATCAGAGAGCATTAAATCCGGCGGTAAGGGATAATTCCGCTTCGTTATTGATACACACACGTAATTTACAATATAATACAATGGTTTACAAGCATTATTATTAGGCACACGCCTTCATCATTATTAGGCTTAACACCTTCGTTCTTCCATCAAACTAAAGTATAGTTATAGAATATCAACAGAGACAAGATGCTCGGAGCGCTACCTAATGGCGAGAGCTATCAATTTATAACATACGTTGTTCCTTCGCGTGTTGTTCGGTTAAATTTGCTTAACCCTTTCGCCGTCCTCTCCTGTCCGCGAAAATTTCTCCCCAGCGGCCGTCGGTTTTACGTGGTATGTAATGTTGTTTTCTCTGTACATCATAACTTTCCATACATAACTTTCGTAGTGGATGAATGTCAATGAATATTAAGTAAAATTATAAGGAAATAAAGCATAATGGAAAAATAATATCTCTGCTTATTTCTAACAGCAGAGTAATTTGATAACATCTGTTCCAGGCGGGCCACTCTTCCCATTTTGTGTTGTAATCTTTTACAATTATTGGTTCTTTTACAATTCTTTTCCGTGTTCCAACATCAATCATCTAGTTATTATGGACTGTTCTCATCAAACGTATATTCTTCTTGTCTTTCCAATTCACAACCTCATTTTTTCTCTTTTTTCTGCTGAGTAGACGTTGAAGCCATCTCTCACTGTCTCGTATCTTATGTAAAATGGCGCGAATATTCATTAAGCCCGGGGCAAATTCAATTAGAAATAGAATGCCTGATTAGTGCTGCCCTCTAGGAGGTATTAGAACAAACAAAAATAAAAACTCAAACAAGTAAACATTTAGAAACAAGTAAACGTTTAAATGTAGAAGAACACTTGTTGCGCGTTACAGCCGCCCTGCGGAAGTATCACTTTAACGCGCTAGACGCGTTACGGACGACAAAGAGGTTAAATCAGTTGAAATTATCAAAGAAGTCAATATTATTCGTCCAAGTTCTATATCTGCTTTACTTGATTTAGAAAATGTTGATCGTAACATGGTTGTTGCTGATAGTTCAGTTGCGCATTTTAATTTCGTCATATTTTACAGTATTGTGAACATTTATGCTGATTTTACAAAAATCACTCAGTGTTTGAGAAAAAAACAATACAACGTTGGATCTGCGGTGTGCATTCAAATAGTAAATCAGATATTTGGTTTATCCTCTTAGTTGACTTCGAAGGTTTAACGTTGTACGAGTTTCTGAGCACTTACCATTTTTCTGTTATTAATGAGGATTGTGGACCCACTTTTTGGGGGCGTACAGACATCTAGTTGTATTGATATAGCAGTTTCTGTGTTATGGAAACTCGTAGATCTTTTACTTTTTTTAAAACAGACGGAAAATGAGTTGCATTATATGTTTCAGTTGCTACACCTAGAGAGTCTAACGCCCTCAAACGAGATTCTAATCAATTTTGCAACCAGGAAGGTAGGAAAGGGAATTTCCAGTGCTATTTTAATGACTAATGATAAAAGTTCTCGAATGTAAATTTCTTTCAATAAATCTTTTTTTTTTTTTCGCTAAATCTTAAAGTTTCTATTACCTCCGGATAATTATCTGCAGTTGGAGGATAACTAATTCTCTGGCACAAGAATTTATGATTGTCGATTGGATAAGTACTGCAATTTACTGGAATTTATTCGCAGGATCTTTATTATCACCTTCACGCATTTGTTTTAAATAATGCCCAAAATGGTAATCATTCTTTAATAAGTTCTACCCAAAATTCTTTAACACTATTAGTGGAAGTTTAGACTTTTGTTTTTGAAAAATATTTACACCATCATATGGATTTGTTACACTATCAATATCAGTTTATTTTTTTTTTCTTTGCTAAAATTGTTTAATCTTAAAATAATTATTTAAGTAACGTTCAGCTGACTTACTTCCATTTTTTAAGTGCTCTTCCGTCTTGCTAGTTTCTAAAAGTAAAAACATTATTTTATTGTACAAGCTTTGTAATTCTTCAAACTATTTCTGTAAAATCTGAAATTTTATTCCACTTCGATGACATCATCGGGATTCTCTTTGCTGATGGCTTCACATATATCATTAATAATCCTCGTGAATGAACTTTCCTCGATTTGATGATCTTTTTCATGTTTACAAACAAATTCCTGTGGCTAGAAATATTTTATGGAAACACTACGATCATTTACTTTTGTTAAAATATGCTCAAGTGAGTTACGTTCTGTAATATATGGCAAGAAAAAATAGTCTTTATAAGAGACACAAAAA